GAGCAGGGAGGGTTTGGTCTTCTGGTTGAAGATCTCCTGGCTGGCCGCCTGGAACGCCTTCTCCACCTCCTTGCTGGTGTAGGTGTCCTCCAGCTTCACACCACTGCCCGGAGAGAGGCCGGCTTGAACCCCGCACAGGCACGTCCCCAGCTGGGCTCGGGGATGTGGGACACGGCGCGTGGACCCACCGGAAGGGCTGCAGCCCCTTGTAGAGGCCGGCAGCCGTGTCGGGGGTGGGGGGGGGTGTCATTCAGCAGCAGCCGCCCCACTGACTTCTGCACCAGCTTGCAGAAGGGCGTGTGGAAGATGATGAACTTGAAGTCGTTGAGGGTGAAGGGCCGCTGGATGCCAGCTGGAAGGCAATATGGGGGCTGTCAGCATCCGGTGGGATGGTGTGGGCACCCCAGGGGTGCCGCCACTTACCCTGCTGCCACTGGCTCTCCGCCTTCCGGCGGTACACAGTGTAGCAGCGGTCCAGCGCCCGCAGGTAGCACTGGATGGAGAGCTGCCCGTCCACCACCGGGTACTCAGAGGCCAGGTCCGGCTTGTAGAAGTCATAGGCATGCTCCATGTGGGTTCCCCGCAGGCCTGAGGGCACAGGGAGAGCCCACTGTCAGGGAGTGCTGGGGGGTCCCAGCCAGATGGCAAGCACCCATGGGTGCTGCCGGCCATACCAGCCCCGGCATCCACCAGCCTCCCTGGGTCACTCCGAGGTGCCCACAGGGATGTGGCCAGCTGGGATCCTGGGGTACCCAGCACTGGGCAGCCACCGGGGCTTGCAGAGCCGGTGCTGCCAGAGCAGAGCAGCTCCATCTAGGGCTGGGACATGGATGTATGGCCCGCAGGGATAGCACCCATCAGCTTGTTGCCCCCGGGGTCTCATGGCACTGACCTCTCTCCAGCACCAGTGGGGCGTTGGGTCCCACCAGCATGGCGATGGCACCGGCACCTCCTGTGGGCCGTGCGTTCCCCGTGGCATAGACAGCAATGTCCCCACACACCACCACAGCGTAGCGACCTGGGGGAGGACAGGGGGGCCAGTGGGGCCGTCAGCAGGCAGGAGCCTCCATCCTGCAACCCTTGCACATCCCCATCCCCATGCTGCTGGGTGTGATGGCCGAGGCATGTGAGAAACAGGGGTGATGGAGAGCCTGGAGGGGTAGCAGCTCCCTTTGGGGCTTGCCAGAGCATCTTTGGGTTTCAGGCCACCTCTTGCCTCCTTCCCCCATCCCACAGCACCCGCCCCATGTCCAGCCCCCCATCCCCGTGGCACAGTGCCTGCCCACACCCACCGTCCCAGGCACTGGACTCCACCCAGGCGGCCGCATTGAAGAGCGAGGCCGTGCCCCCATTGCCCGAGTCATGAAAGAGCTGCATGAGGACGGTCTTGACGGCCTTGGACTTGTCGATGACGGTCTCGGTGCCCACCTCCAGGCGTCCGATGGCGTCCCAGGACAGGCGCCCGCGCTCCACCAGCCGCTGCACCACCGTCAG